TCCTAGATAATGAACAGAATCTCCTCTTGGTATTTTTTCAGGAGCTATTTGTTATCCCCAGTGAGAAAAAAATTATCTTCATCAAATTTTTTTCCTGAGGTATTTGTATCTGAATCAGCCAGTAAGAAATCATCCATATGGTGCTAAATTATGGGCTGAGGAAATTGCTTATGAATTGCTTCTAAGGGCAGTGTACAAAATATTGGCAGAAGGCAGGACCATTCAAGAAAGCTTGTGGCAAGATTCTCCGATGATATCTCTTTATTGGACAACTTCTAAGTAAATCCTGAGGAAGCAAAAACTCTCACTATCATGTTCATGTAAAGGGGACTGTAAAAATCACTCTTTTAAATCAGTTACTATAACAGGCCATGGCTGAGGTAACAAGGAAGGCCATGACAGTCCAGACTGTAGAGTCCATTGGCTGAGTGATGTTATTAATTGCTGTCAGATCTCTCAACACCCTCCATCTGTCAGATTTTTTTTTTCATTGACAAATACCGAAGCGTCCAAAGGGCTGGTGACTCTTCTGTCTGTTGAGCCTCCCTCCAGCTGCTCCTGGACTAGCTGTTCCAGTGCCTGTAAGGTTTGTCATAGGCCATTGTTATATCCAAACAGGTCTGTCAGGGCGGCGGGTGCTCTACCGGCAGGGGGCTCCACCATGTAAAGGTGAAAATCAGCCCCTGCTGTATCCTGTAGACCAGGGAAGCTGATGGTGTCGCCACAGCCTGGAGCTGCTGCCTGGAAACTGGGGGAAGGAAGGAGGCACACAGGAGTTAGTCCTGCTGTTTGCAGTCCCCGCCTGAGCCTGGAGGGATCATGGCCAGGGGGAGAAAGGTGATCCAGCCAGCCGGAAGATCCCTCCTCATCCTGTTCCTTCTCCCTGGAAGCCTCCTGGACCGGGTCATGCTTAAGGCACTGGAGGCAGGGCTTTCCCGCCTGGCCCACGTGGACTCAGTTGCTCATTTTCCAGGTGTACCCCCAAGTACTGCTCTACTGCTTCCTAGGGATCCCTCAGTCCTGTCGTCAACCCCCAGACATGCTCATGCTCTCTCTCACCACCTGAAGGGCGTTTAGGTCCTTCCCTCCTTGTGGTGGCTCCCTGCTTGCCCAGTGCCCATCTCCGGGTGTGGCAGCTGCTTCATGGGAGAGGCCACTCCCTGTTCTCCGGCTCTGCTCCTCCTAACTGCTTGTCATGCTTCTTCGACTAAGTCGTAGATTAAATTCTTTATGTCTTTTTTGATTTTTTTTTTGTTTGTTTGTTTTTGTTTTCTTTTGAGACAGGGTCTTATGTAGCCTAGGCCAGCCCCAGACTTAACAAATAGCCGAGGCTGGCCATGGCTGAGAAAATGCCTCCACTGGATTGGCCTGTAATTTCTTTTCTTTTTTGAGACAGGGTTTCTCTGTGTAGCCCTGGCTGTCTCGGAACTCACTCTATAGCCCCCTCTGGCCTCAAACTCAGGGATGAACCTCTCAAGTGGTGGTGCATTTTCTTAATGATGCAGGAGGGCCCAAATCAATATGGGCAGTGTTAGCTACCCCTGGGCATGTGGTCTTGGGTTCTATAAGAAAGCAGGCTGACTGAGCCATGGGGAGCAAACCAAAAAGCAGCACCCCTCCATGGCCTCTGCATCAGCTCCTGCCTCCAGGTTCCAGGAGGGATGAAATGCCTCCCCAAGCTGCTTTTGGCCATGGTGTTTTTCACAGCAATAGAAACTCCAACTAAGACATGCTTGCTCTCCAGCTGCCCTACCCAGGATAAATCACATTTGAATCTTTGCCCAGTCCAGACCTCCAGCCTCACACCAGAATTCCCAGCATGCATAGCACAAAACTGGCCCTAAGCAGAAGTTTAGTAAGGAGCACAGCAAGAAGGCAGATTTCCAGGAATGGGGCCCACAGTGCTCATCTCTCCTTGGCCTCTGCTCAGGTACTCAGCTGGATGGTGGTCCAATTTAATATTCAAACAAGAGGCTAAGTGTTGATCCAGAAGCCAGGGGAAATTAGTCCCCTAACTGTGAGCTGCTGGGAAAGACTTCCCTGCTGGAAAGTGCCTGTCTGGCAGGCCTGGAAGCTTCATTAGGTAACTGATAGAGAGCTTGCCTTGGGCCCCTGTGGGTAGCATTCCACAGACTCGGACAAAAAAAAAAAAAAAGATATCTGTAAACAGACTATTCAGTGAGAAACCATAGGGGCCTGAGGATCTGATTTCATGTCCCCAGGACATGTTCCACCCAGGCCACCCCTCCCTTTGCCTCTCTCAGAACCCAGCTGCACAGAGAATGGTCTGACTTCTGAGGTAGGCAGGGTATCCTCTCACTGGGAGTTGGGCCAAGGCAGGGAAAATGTCTGCAGAGCATCTGGAATCAGGCCCTGGCAGAGGGTGGGGTCCCTATAGGGCGGTATGTGTGTGTGTGTGTGTGTGTGTGTGTGTTTCCATGTCCCAGGCTCCAGTCTGTGGATGCAATAAAGTTATAAGAATGTCCTGCTCCCAGGCCACACAAGCCTTGCAAGCCTGCTTCCATCTATCAATCTCTAAACTCAGGAAGGGCCTAGACTGAACCTCCACTCTACTGGTGTGGAAGGTGGGGTTCCATAATAAAGGATTTAGGGGCACACAGTGGGGCTCCTTTGATAGTCACGTACACCCTGGGAGCTAGCAGGGCTGACTCAGCTCTTTGCAAAAGAGGAACATGCTGAAACTGGCCTCAACGGAGAGGCTGGAGGCTGGCAAAGGGGCTCCTTAGCTGGACATTAAGCAAGACCTTTTCCCCCCAGCCCAGGAAGTGCTTGAACAAGGCCTGTGATGGTGGATGCTGGAATTACCTCACTGGGCATCAAAGCTTCTCTCTTGGTCTAGGAATGAGCCAGCCATTTGCTCTTGTCTCCCAGGCCCTGCCTCCCTACTCTTCTTGGTATGCTGTTATTTCTGGTGCCCTGTATCTTGCCTGGCAGTTTATGGTGGCTGGAATAGGAGGCCCAGAGTCAGGGGGCTGGGCGAGACACAGGGTGCTGGATGAAGGGAGGCAGAGAATGCAGGAGAACCTCTCTCTGCTCAGTGCTAACCATTCTCAGAGCATCTCTCAGCTCCCTGCTTTTGGATACGGCCCAGAGAGGCATGACTCAAGGTCGGGGCCCTGGCTGCCTCCTGGATCCATCTGGAAGGTCCATCCACAGGCCCTCAGAGAAGGGCTGCAACTGTTCCACCCACTGTTGAGGGTCACGTGGCCAAGTCTCAGACTGATGTGCCCCATAACCCAGCAAGTAGTAGACCAGGACGGGCCTCTTCTGGGCCCTCAGCTCTGCAGGGGCTAAGAACATTTTGAGGGGGCTGGAGAGATGGCTCAATGGTTATGAGCACTGGCTGCTCTTCCAGAAGACCTGAGTTCAATTCCCAGAACCCACATGGCAGCTCACAATTGTTCCAGAGGACTTGACACCCACAGACATACATGTAGACAAAACACCAATGCACATGAAATAAAATAAAAGAACATTTTGAGACCCTCACCTAGCAACATGGGGTCCTGAGCCTGACCCTGGGGAATGATCCTGAGATACATTTGGCAAGTTCTCACTTTCAAGACCTTTGCTGAGACAGGTTGAAATCCACAATGATGGGAAGCTTTCCTTGCCCCCGCCTCCCCCCTCCCCCGGGTGCTGTGTGCCCAGAGGAGGCTCAGTCCCAAACTACTTCCTAAGAGGAAGTCTTCCTTGTGGGTAGCAGTGAGAGTTGGTGGTGAGGATGGCCAGGAGAGGCACCGCAGGCAGCATTGGCACAAGCATAGGAGCGTCAAGGTGCTGCTGTGAGTGTGGGAAGGAGCCAGGAATATGAGTTCAGTGTGGATGGAGAGAGAGGGAGGCAGGGCTAAGCAATGGAAGGCCTTGGATGCTGGGCCTCAGGGAGCTGTGGCAGTGCTTATGGGGAGGGGGCGACATGTTTCATGTCTGTGTGCCAGCACCTGTTTAGGCTGTCGCTAGATCATCATGTGGCTGAACAACCCCCAGCCCCAAGACATCATGTCACGTGTTCCAGTGTGTGCAGTCATGTACAGTGTTCGTGCGGTCAGAGTAAAGCCTGTCATTCTAAAACAGAAAGGAAGAAATGAAAAGGATTGATGAGGCTCACCGGCTCATGCCTATAATCCTACCTCTTGGGAGATGGAGACATGACAATTGCTGTTAATTCCCCAGCAGCCAGCCGGGACCAAGATTTCTTTTCTTTTTTAAAGATTATTCAGTGCCTATGTGTGTATGTTCGCATGGCAGTACAGGAGCTAATGGAGACCAGGAGTCATCAGATCCCCTGGAGCTGGAGTTACAGGTGGTTGTGAGCTGCCCTACTGAGTGCTTGGAACCAAACGTGGGTCTTCTGAGAAGGCAGCAAAAGTGCCAAGCCGTCTCTCCAGCCCCTATAAGCTGAGATCTTTCCAAATGATACTGTGATTGGCTGGAGAAATAACTGGCTTGCAATTTATCGTCTTCATCGAAGCCCTCACATGCTCCTGAGTATTTTTGGAGCCAGGCACCTCACTTCCTTACTGAGCTGCCCAAGGCCTTGTGCAGGCAGAGCAGAGGCTGGAGAAAAGTCCAAAATTCCTGGCAGCCTCCTGACCTCCCGCCCCATGGGAATGCCCAGCCAATCAGAGGAGAGAATCAGCAGTAGCTGCAGAGCCTTTCCCATGGCCCAGTCCTGATGCTGGAGTTACTAGTAGCCTATCCAGGCTTCCAGGGTGAGGCCGAGGCCCTTCCCAGGCTTGGCTGGGGCTAGCCCCTACTCCTCATGCCTTGGTGTTCACACTGAGGCCCATTTAGGCTAAAATAAATCTAGGCTTATCGAGGTACGAATAGGCTATTTGTGAGCCTTGAGAAATGATTTGGAACCACAGGCTCCTTCCACACCTTGGCAGCCAGCCACTCCCTGTCCCGTTCCCATCTGCAGAACAGTGTGCCTGGAAGTCTATGTTCACAAGCATACCATGTGACCGTGAGGCATTGGATGGGGTAGTGAGTCACTTTTATTATAGCCCCTGGCGTCTACAACAGGGAGGGGATTTAAAACCTTTTCCCTGGAGCCAAAAGAATTTCCACATTCCCGAACTCCGGAATGGGTTGTGGCAGCTCTTCAGAGCAGTGTCCCAGGGGAGGGGAAAAAGATGGTGTTCTCAGGGAGGGCTGCCCTACCCTTTGGTTTCATGAGGCTGAGAGCACTGGACCCTTGTCAGCATTCATACACAAGCTTCTCTGAGTTCCTCTCCTGCCACCAGCCCCCAACTGTGTGTCATCCAGCTACCTTGGAACGCTCAGTGTTCCCCCTCTTTCCTGCCTGCCGATCCCACCTCCCCGGGAAAGGCGTTAATAATCCTGCTGTAACACGAAGGCTGCCCGGAGGGTCCGTCCTCACAAGTACATCTTCATGGCTTCATGTGTCGTGGGGCAGTAGCGGGCATACAGCTGAGCCAGCAGGGCCCTGGATGTGGCCTCGAGGTGTGTGCCCTGACTCTTCTTGTTCCACACGTGAACAGCATAGGTGGCATTGATCAGCCGGGCCAGTTCCTCGGAGCTGATCTCTTCAAAGTATTTCTTCCAGTTCTGCCAGGGGATGGGGTAGAAGGCCTCCGGGGGCAGGGCGGTGACTCCTCGGCAAGCGTGGCTCTCCTTCAGGCTGCGGATGGAACACCACTTCTTGAAGACTCGGGTAAGCAGCTGGGGGCCCTGGTGGCCCCAAATCCAACCATTGTAATGGTCCACAAAGTCATGTATGCACAGATCCAAGAACTCATGCTTGCGCTCGAAGGCCAGGAAGGCGCCATTGAGTACGTAGCGGGATTGGAAGCCCAGCATGTTGGTCAGGTTCCTCAGGTTCTTGAGGACGATGAAGTCTGTGTCCAGGTAGATGCCACCAAACTTCCAGAGGAGTGCGATCCTGGAGGCATCTGACAGCACCGGCAGCAGGTAGGGCTCCCAGCGGCGCTGAGCCCTCAAGTACCAGGCTGCCAAAGGTGTGTCTTCAAACAGCTGTTGCAGATCTAGAGGTTGTATTAGGACATTGGGGAAGCAGCTCAGGAGAGAGACGCCAAGGTTCCGGGGCAGGGCTGTGCTGTGTCTAGTTAGCCCTTTCATGAGCACCACCACCCGGGAGTCTGGGTGTGCCCTGGCAGCTGACTCTACAGAACACATAAACAGAAAGCTGGGGTTGGTCCTGTCTGATGTCTCTAGGAAGAAGATGTTGCCTGGGGAAGGGAGGCTGGGAAAGGCCAGCTGGGGGCAGGGGATGGCCACTGGCAGGCTATACTGTCGTCCTGGGTCCTTGGGTGAGTCCACAGCGTGCCAGTAGATCATGAAGAAGATGAAGAGTGTGACCTTGAAGCTGATAATGACGAGGGTGAAGACCCGCTGTCTGGGGGTGGCCCTGAGCATCCGCAGCAGGCAGTTAGGGGTCTTGGACATGGTCTCCTCCAGATCAGAGCAGGGGACACCCACAGGGATTGACTGGTCTGTAAAAAATGAGCACCAGCATTCAGGTAGGCTGGCCGCAGGCATCCGCGACTCTCGAGAAACGTGTTTCCCGCCAACACCAAGGGGACACAGTGCCAGCTTTCAAAGCCTAAGGTCTCTGAGACCCAAGAGCCATGAGCTGCCCCCGCCCCCAGAGAGCTACCTGCTCATCTGTAAACCAGGAGCTGTAGACTGGGGTCTGGGCAAGGTCCTTTTTGCCCCATGTAGGAAACCTGTGAATGCCTGGGGACCAGAACCCATGGCTCTGGCAGTGTGCAGCCAGAGTCTACCACACTCAAGGACAGTCAGAAGCAATGACTGCCACGTGGCCCCCTGTGCCTGGCCAAGTCTGCCTCTCTTGGCCTATTGGGGCTGTCCTTTGACTCCTCAGCTCCTTTGTCCTTTGACCAGGCTTTGGCTCACTCAAAGACAGGCCACGAAAAGCCTCCAACACATGAAGACCTGGACTCAGGATTGCAGAGATGTCTCGGTGGGTAAAACAGCGCAAGGCCCTGAGCTGGGATCCCGGGAACCCACGGAGAAGCCATGCACAGCAATGTGTGCGTGTAACCCCACCCGTGGGGAGGTAGAGACAGACGGACACTTGGGGGCTCTTTTTTCTAAGGATTTATTTATTTATTTAATTATTCATTTTATGTGTATCAGTGTCTTTCCTGTGTGTATGCCTGTGTGAGGTTTTCAGATCCTGGAGTTACAGACAGTTGTGAGCTGCCATGTGGGTGGGTGCTGGGAATTGAACCTGGGCCCTCTGGAAGAGCAACCAGTGCTCTTAACCCACTGAGCCATCTCTCCAGCCCCACCTGGCAGGCTTTTTAAGTCGGTGAGGATGGCCTCGAATTCACCAGTCACTATATGGACTATTTGACTATTGATTCTCCTGCCTCAGCCTCCCAAGTACTGGGATTGTAACTAGGCCCCGCCACACCCTACATCATACACGGGCTCTGTCAATACCGACCATCTAACCGACAGTAATCCACACACACAAACCTGCTGAACCCACACAGGCAGCTGACAGGGGCTACTCCTCGCCTCTGCCTTAAGGATGAGGACACGGACAGTCTATATCTCTCGTGCTGTGCCCAGGTAGACAGTGGCAGGATGTGTCCGGGAGGAGTGGGCAGGGTTGAGGGTGTCTGTGCTCTTACCACATTACCTTTTCCTGGGGAGAGAGCTGGTCCTGGAAGGAAGTGGCCAAAAGGGTGTCTGGCTCACTGCACAAGCCTGGTCCTATAACCAGAATATCACCAGCAGCCCTGGTGCTGGGTCACCCCATACCTATTGTAGGTTCTAGGTTGCCTTCACAGCCCTCAGGCCCTTGGCTACTCCAGGAGACAGTTGCAGCTTTTTTTTTTTTTGGACACAGTTTCTCTGTGTGTAGCCATGGCTGTCCCAGAATTCACTCTGTCAACCAGGCTAGTCTTGAACTCAGAGAACCACCTGCCTCTGCCTCCTAAGAGCTGAGATTAAAGGTGCTCACTGCCACCACTCGGCCAATTGCATTATTTTGACCTTAGGAGTCAGGAAACTTGAGTGGAAGGAGGTCAAAGGATTAGACATAGCCAGGTAGGAGCTACAGGGAACTGAGATTTGAGTCCTTAGGCTCTTGGAATTACCATCCCATGGGGAAGAGCTTGGGGTTTGAGCCTTCTCGATGGACTCTCTCCAGGTTAAAGAGCTACTGACCAGCCTGGGCAGTCCATGGCGAGGAGGTGGGGTCCTAGCAGCCTGTAGGCATACTGGATGTGTGCACTGGGTTAGGAGCCGATCTTCTCTGCCAACAGGAATATGGCCTGCTCTCTGATACTCAGGTCTGCCAGACCACCTGCAAAAGATGAAAGGCAGAAAGGGTCAGACCTCCAGTAGCTGGGCCCTCCCAGCTGGAAGGGCAAGTTGGTCAGCAATTTTGGCTTCCAGAGTCTGGCCCTGTTGCCAAACTGAGCACATTAGCCCGTGCTTGGCCCTTTGGGCACACTGTCTGGAGACAGAGGGACAATACAATTAACTAGAACTCCCTGGGTGAAGTGGCACTTGGGCAGGACACGAGGGAGAGAAAGGAAGGGCCAGTCAGATGGAGATGGAAGTGGCCAGTGGGAGCCGTGCACCTTTGTCCCCACAGGCTGCAAGGGGCTATGGGAGGTACCAAGGAGAAGAGCCCATACTTGCTCCAGATCAGCTCATACTCAGCAAGTGAGAGACAAAGGCTGAATCCCAGCACTGGAGAGGCAGAAGCAGGAGGATCACTACAAGTTCCAGGCCAGCCTGGGTTACATAGTGAGGCCAAGAACCATACACAACAAGATGAAATATACTCGGAGCTGGACACAGTGACTGGGTTACAGGGTTAGGGGACATTTGAGTTCATATACAAGTTTGGGACGGCCTTGGGCATCATAGCCTGATGCTAGTATTTAAAAACAAGCTGGTCACAGTGGCACACGCCTTTGCTCCCAGCACTCTGGGAGGCAGAGGCAGATAGATCTATGAGTTCAAGGCTAGCTGAGTCTACAGAATAAGTTCCAGGACAGCCAGGGCTACACAGAGAAACCTTGTCTCAAAAACACCAAAAAAACAAAGTCAGAGGCTGGAGAGATGGCTCAGTGATCAAGAGTACCTTCTGCTGCATCAGACTGGAGTTCAGATCCCAGTAGTACCTACACCTCAGCTCTGAGAGACACAATACCCTGTTCTCGTCATGTAGACATTTGCACGCACACACACAGATAAATGCTTATAGTACTAGGGAAGGCAGGGGCAGGAGGATCTCTGTGAGTTGGAGGCCATCCTTGTCTACAAAGCGAGTCCAGAACAGCCAAAACTATACAGAGAAACCCTGTGTCAAAAAAGAAAATTAGGGCTGGAGAGATGGCTCAGTGGTTATAGCAATGGCTGCTCTTTCAGAGGTCACGAGTTCAATTCCCAGCAACCACATGGTGGCTCTCACCCATCTATGATGAGATCTGGCACCCTCTTCTGGTATATATGTAATAAACAGATAAAATTAAAAAAAAAAAACAAACAAACATCAAAGCAAACCACCAACCAACAACAACAAAAAAATGTTTTCATTACTTAAAAGATACGAGAAGAAAATTAAGGATATCCTAGGCTATATAGCAAGTTTAAAGCCAGCCTGGGCTACATGAGACCCTAAATAATATGAGGATTCAGGTCCCTGCAGCCTTGTGCCTTACACCCCTGGCTTATCCCACCCTCTCCCTGGTTCCTGATCTATGTCAGCCACATACCATCATTGCTCTAGGACCTGCGATACCTCCTACTTTCTCTGCTTAGATGGCTCATTCTCTACTCATAATTCACCCTCATGTCTCAAACCTATAACTCCAGAGATCCCTGCCTTCCACTTGTTTATTCTTCCTAGTGCTTATCCCAAAATACTGTGCCTGTTTAGGTAAATTTATTTAGAAATAGTCCAATGGAATGAAAATGGCCTCATAGGCCTATAGGAGTGGCATTATCAGGAGTTGTTGGAGTGAATGTGTCACTGGGGGTGGGCTATGAAGTCTCAGATGCTCAAGCCATGTCCAATGTGGCACTCTCTTCCTGCTGCCTGAGGATCCAGATATAGAACTCCCAGCTCCGTCTCCAGCACCATGACAGTGGCTTACACCTCTGAAACTGTAAGCTAGCCCCAATGAAATGTTTTCCTTTATAAGAGTTGAAATGGTTGGGCTGGAGAGATGGCTCAGTGGTTAAGGGCACTGACTGCTCTTCCAGAGGTCCAGAGTTCAATCCCCAGAAACACATAGCTCATAACCATCTGAATACCTTCTTCTGGCCTGCAGGCATACATGCGGACAGAGCACTCATACACAGTAAGACATTCAACAAGGATAGCTATTTTGTCTTACTGAGTGACTCACATAGAGCAAGCTAATCTCCAACTTACTATATAGCCGAAAAGATGACCTTGAACTTCTGATCCTCCTGCCTCCTTCCTCACTGCTTCATGCAAGCAAGGCAAACACTCCACCAGGTCCTGCACCCAACCTCCTTCCTGCTGGGATGAGAAGCCGGTGAAAGAACTCAAAAAAGAAAAGTAGATTTTTGCATTTATTTTGTGTTTGTTCAGCATCTGGAGGCCTGTCTAGCATTCCACAGGGAGCAGATGAGGGAATCTGTGAATGAACCAAGGAGGGAGGGAATCTGTGAACAGGCGTATCATTGGCTGAGCAGGGGGCCAGCTGCTGACTGAACAAGAGCACCAGTGAGCGAGCAGGGTTGGAGCGAAGGTCAGTGAGCTGCTTGGGAGCCCAGCCAGGGTTATGCATGTAGCAGAGCTGGGACAACCAATGGAATGATGCGAGCTTTGTCCTCCTTTGGGGAGTGAGGCTATTCTGGGCATAAGTATTTTTTTGTATGTGTTTCATTTTTCATGACAGGGTTTCTCTGTGTAGTCTTGGCTGTCCTGGAACTTACTCTGTATACCAGGCTGGCCTGGAACTCAGAGATCAGCCTGCCTCTGCCTCCAAGGATTAAAGGCATACGCTGGTCCTGATGCCACCACCCTGCAGGGTCCTAAGCAGCTTTAATACAGTGGGAGACAGATAGTATATGGACAACCATCAGCAGAATGCACCCCTGAGTATTTGGGACCTGAAGTCCTGGGGTGCCCTGACTCTGCCATGGCATAGGGTAGAGCCCAGGCCTGAGGTGGGGTAGGATGTGCCTGACCACAGCTTGAGGTGCTAGATTCAGAATCACACACACACCATATTTGGTGTCAATAGCTGAAGAAGACTCAGGAATAGAAGTTATGTACTGGGCCAAGTTGGCCACAGCTCAATACCCATGTGACCTCAGACTCAAAGTGCGCACACCCCCCCTCCCCCCCGGGTAGGCCCTGCAGCTGCACCGCAAGTCCTGGCCCTTGTCAGAAGAGCCTGCCATGGCCCTGTTAGCTACCTCCTGTCCCCAGGCTTCCTTCCCTAGGGCAGGGAGCTATTTTCAGACAGTATGTTCACTGGGCACTCTGCTGCTCTAAGCAGTTCCATGGTTCCCTATTACCAGGACCTTCCGTGACTCATTGCAGAAGTGCAGGCTGGCAAGGACAGAGGTTGGCACCAGTCCCAGCACTGTTTTCCAACCCAAGTGCTACATCCTTAATGGATGTACCTCCATCTGTTTCCCTGGCTGACTGTGAGCCAAGACACTGTCATGGGGATGGTCAGATTTGGCCCACATTGAACCCCGTAGATGCCATCTCTGGGCTGGAGTGCCAACAAAATGGCTCACAGAAAACACGCGCTGAGCCAATGGAGGGTCAGACGTTCTGACGGGGATAGAGGTTCTAGAAGAACTCAGAATTCCTATGTGTGGTACCTCACTGGCCCCCTTCCCCAGGTCTCTGCAGACAGTGCTGGCAACCCTATCCAGGGGTCCTCATAAGATGAAAGAAAACAGAAGACTCCATTCAACAACCAAGCTGGGACACACGTAGAACCAGGGCCATGGAGCCTGAGGAGCTAAGCAGAGATTGTGTGGTGGGAGGTCCAGGGGGTCCATGCAAAGTGGAATGGGGAGGGGGAGGGGGATAAAGGAGTGGGCCTATCGGCGAATATGGACCAAGTTTCTAGGGTTTCCAGGCCACCAGACAAAGTGAGGCTGGGATGGGGTGAGTCCTTGTGGCCTATGACACATGGCCCCAGGAGTGGCAAGACTAAGACCCAGTTTGGGTGGAGAACATGAGGTGTGTCTCGGGCCCTGCCTAAAAGCTAGGCCTCCACAGACCACAGTGACTGGCGTTTCCTGTCAGGCATCTGTGTAAGGGAGAGGGGTTGGGCAAAGGAGAGCCACTGGGGTAATCTCTAAGATTACGGAGGAGCCCGTGGCCCTCTTATCTCTATGTCCAGCAGTGTGATTGTGTGCGGCCTTTGACCAGGACTGACCTTCTATTTTAACACCCTCCCCTGGCTCTCCAGAGTGAACTGTCAGAGCACAAATTCCTAGTCCCTGGTCACACTTGCTTCTAGGGCAGTCAAATCACATCCCCTTCCCATTGTCTTCCCCGCTGCTTAGACAGAGACTAAAGTATCCCAGAGTCCCCCAGCCCACTTTAGGACCCCCTGCTATGTCCAGGACACATACCACAGGAGAGGTTATCTCCCTGAGCCTTGCCTGGGCATTAGGGTCTGTCCACTTTGCTTCCTGGGCCAGCAGGGACACTACAGACTACAGTCCGTGGCTGGAGAAAGGGTAAGATGCCCCACATAGGGAGCTGACTGTAAGGTAGGGCCGTTGGCAGAATGCTGGCTCAAGCATCTATAAAATCCAGGATTCTCTCCCCAGCACCACCTGTGTGTGTTCTGTGAAGAGAGAGGAGAGGGGAGGGGAGGGGACCAGAGGGGAGAAAAGAGGGGAAGAGAGGAGAGGAAAGAAGCTCTGTCCCAAAGGGAATAAAAGGATAGCTTACTTCAGCCCCCTCTCCTATGGAAACACACACAGAAAAGTAAAGAAGTTACAGCTTTAGAGAATCGAGGGCACAGAGAAAACCCAAATTCTCACCCACATGGAACTGTGGCCCAAAGCACGACTACACAGCAGTGAAGTGGGGAGCGAGAGTGCACAGGGACCCAGGGACAAGGACCTCAGAAAACATCAGCGATTATGATGGAACCAAGCTTCCCTTCTAAGAGGGAGGCAGGCAGCAGGAGCTGTGGCCCACATAGACTAGAAGGGCGTATACACTGATGACGTGACCGCACCATGGTATGGTTAAGGGGGAGGTTTTTATCGTAGCTATGAGAGAACAGGTAGAGGAGTCTGGAAGAACCCACAGCAAAGAGAAAAAAGTATGGTAGACCGAACACGGCCAGCAGGCTGGACCTGGCCAGGGGTGACGCAGGAGCAAAGCAGAGAGATAAGGAGAAAGGGGAGAGGGTGAAAGATGAAGAGAAAGAGTGTTGGCAAGAAAGAGGGCAAAATAGCAGGGTTATAAGGAGCCTGAGGAGCTGGGAGACAGAAGCCCATGAGCTGGAGAGGGTTAGGAAAAAGGAGGAGAGGAGCGCTGAGAAATGCAAGGATCCTGCAGGGACCCTGAAATGTGTAAGAGATGCCTGCCACACTGAGGAAGCCTGGAGGCCAGCGGCACTTTGGTGTGCCAATTGGCACGACAGATTGTGATTCTTCCCTTCTGCAGTGATAAGGAAAATGGCTCCTTTCTGTAGAGGGATCTGGCCTCACGGCTCCTGACGAATGCCGCTCTTTTGTCTAGTGGGCAGAATCTGGGGAAATGGAGCTTCCTTTGAACTTAACAAAGTAATTGGAAGCAGCTGACTTCCCAAACCAGGGTAGCTTCAGAGGAACCATCAAGCCATCAACCAGAACAAGTGAAGAGGAGGAGGAGGAGGGGAAAAGAGGGAGGGGGAAGCCTTTCTAGAGAAACTAGAGCCTGGGGCCTCATTCCCAATATCAGGGCCAGCATGGTAGTGCACACCTTTAATTTGGAGGCAGAGACAGGTAGATCTCTGTGAGTTCAAAGCCAGCCTTGCCTCTACAGAGTTCCAATCTGGCCAAAGCTACATAGCAGGGCCCTTTCTCAAACAAAACAAAACAAAACAAAACAAACATAGAAAAACCAACACCACCACCCACCAAAAAACAAAAACCAAAAAACAAAACAAAAAAACAAACAAACCAAAAAACCAAAAAAACGGTTAATTGCTAGTCTAGAGAAATATTACTGATTTGAATATGTGTATAAACTAGTACATACGAAGAAACTTCCGGGCAGTCCACATAGTCATGAGGTTTGGCTGGAACCATCTGCTTCTGTGTTCTCACTCAGACTGGTGGAACTATTTCTTTTTCTTCTCTTTCTTTTGCTCTCAGGTCTTGGCCAGAACCTAAGTATGTTCTCTCCGGTCCTCTGGGTACCTGTGAAGATTTGCATCTTGCCCACCCCTGTCCTGGGGTGTTTTTCTTTTAAGCTCTAATAAAACTATCCTCAAACTGAAAAAAATAAAATAAAATAAATATGGCAACCCCGTTACACCTCAGCTAAATTCTGAGGGATTGCTGGCGGATAGATAAAAGCATTCAGTCGGCATTCCCCGGGAACCTGTGAAAGGAGCCAGCCATCTTCCCTTGCCTCTGGCCCTGTCTTGGCGTCTACCCGTGGTCACATACCAAAGCTCTGCTAACCTCCAGCGGTGAAGATACATCCGTGAGTGCAATCGCTGAGCAATCTCCTATCAGGAATGTGTCAGGCCGTGCCCTTCATTTTCCTTGTCCGTTTAAAGGCTTATTTGAGCCACTCTGGAGTTCTACTGAACTGTCTACTGTCTAACTTTGGGGCCCTTTCAAGCAGATGTGGGTTGGGTTGAAGTATCTGAGCGTATGCTGGGGTGACAGGGGAGTTGGAGGTCCTGTTATTTTGTGACCTAAGCCACACAGAAACGAGAGTGTTGGGGCGCGGACATATTCTATTGTAATGCATGTAACCGTGGGAAATGCTAAGTCTGTGGGACCGTGACAGCATGGGAAGAATTCTGGGAAGGTAGCCTTTTATAAGCTTCTGGCTTATCTAGGCATCCTCTGGTTCATACATGCATATATGTACACCTGTATAAGCCACAGACAAGCTGTGGGAATTGGGCTCGGGGTTTTTTGTTGTTGTTGTTGTATTTTTGGTTTGTTTTTTTGTTTGTTTGCAACAGGGTCTTTTTTAGTCCTTGAGTTCTATGTATCTGAGGATGACTTTGAAGTTGGGATCCTTCTGCTTCTACCTCTATTTTTTTTTTTTTTTTTTTTTTGAGACAGGGCTTCTCTATAGCACTGCCTGCACTCAATTTGTAGACCAGGCCGGCCTCGAACTCACAAAGATCCGTCTGCCTCTGTCTCGCAAGCGCTGGGATCACAGGCGTGTGCCGCCACCACCTGGCTTTTCGCCTACCTCTTGAACACAGGGATTCCAGCCACCATGCCTGCTTTATACAGTGCTACAATGGAAGCCTGGGCTTCGAGCCTGTGGACAAGCAATGCATAAACTGAGCTTCGTCCACTGCTCATGACCATCACCCTCAAGCAAAGAGAATTACACCCCACCAACCATGCCTCTATCATAATTCAGAAATAGAAATAAAATGATTCAAAAATAGGCATTAGTTGCTGTATTATCTTTTTTTAAATTACTGCCGCCAAACACCTCATAAAAAGCAGCTTATATGGACTTCTTTGGTGTACAGTGTGAGAGGTGGCCTTCACCATGGCAGCGAAGGCCTGGTGTGGTTCTTGATGGCACTTGTTGGCACTCAGAGAATCAGGAAGGAGAAGCCAGAGCACAGCTGGGTTTTCTCCTTCCCCTTTTGCTCAGGCTCCTCTGCCACTCTCCCTCTCCCTCAGCGTGGGCCACTTCTGGCCACTCCCACTTCTGGCCAAGACCTTGCTCCTTAGAGTTGTTCTGTGGAAACCCCCTCACAGACATGCCCAAGGAGCTTCACCAGTGCCCAAGGCTAAACGTTTCTCAATCCAGACAAGTTAAACCAAAACAAAGATTTACAGATATTTCTAAAAATGACATTAACGGGAGCTGGAGAGATGACTTCATGGTTAAGTGTTCAATTCCCAGCACACACACACACACACACACACACACACACACACACACGAAAGGCAGATCACCATGGGCACCCATACACTGAGACAGACAGGCAAGTAAGAAATAAAACTTTAGATAAAAACAAAATTAAGAAGACCCGATGGTCCTGACACAATGCTGTCAAATCAAGACTATCATCCTAAGATGCTGAGCACAAGCCTTATGATTGAACAGTTTTGTCTCTTGCCGAACCTGCAACCAAACTCATGAAAAACCCCTCCAGCAAGTAGTTTCTCTCTCTCTCTCTCTCTCCCTGGTTCCCAAGGTTGTTTTATGTTTTCTTTGCAAGTCACTGTGACTCTTGTCTACTGACATTGCTCACAAGAAAAACATCTATCGGAGTAACCCGAGCAGGATTTGAAGACTCTACATACTGCCTTCGGGACAGACAGATAGAATTAAACTTGAGAACGGACTCCAGAAAGGGTTTGTGGCTATCGGTGCCTAATCCCCTTTCCCTCACTTCAGATACGGGGTGAGATCAGGTCAACAAGGCAGCTCCCACCCTGGTGACCAGGCACAGTTGATATAAAACCATATATAACCTGGCCAGTTATGTCTTCAGGGAAAACTGTCCAGAGATAAGGTGGGAAGTTGTTCAGAACTGAAATGAGTCTGGTGGTACACACCTTTAGTCCTAGCCCTTGGGAGACAGAAGCAGATGAACCTCTGAATTTGAGGCCAGCCTGGTCTAAACAGTTCCAGGACAGCCAGGCCTGCACAAAAAGAAGCCCTGTTTCAAAAAACAAAACAGAACCAACCAACTAGCCAATCAAACAAATGTATGAAATGGCCAGGGTCATAGAGATAGATGCATGCCTGAAGTACACACACACACACACACACACACACACACACACACACACACAATCTAGAGACCAATACCCAGATGAAGGTAATTATGAAGAGGAGACAGCACCCCCAAGACAGGGGCTGTCATCTGGGAGGAATCACACTGATCCACTTGATCACAGACAGCAAAAATTTCTGACCACACTGCTCAACCAGAGATAGGGTTAATGACCAGGCAGACTACACCTTGACCAGGACGGTCAAGCTTGCAGGAGGCTAGCTTGCCTCTTGCCTCCTGTCCTAATTCTTCCACCATTTAAACCTAAAGCCCATACCAGTAACCAAGGACGGAACTGAGAGTTACTGGGCCTCTTTATTCCTTTTCCCATGTTCTCACATCCACCAAACCCGGCTTTCGCTGTCACTCAGTGTGTGTGCTGGGACAGGTGTGTGCTGGCTGAGTCTAATGGGACCGCTCTGATCAGAGGCCTGGTTCTTGCCCTGAAAACTATAGTTACCGGGCCAAGAAGGTAACTACACAGCAGGTAAAGGCCATTGCTGTGTAATCTGATGGCCTGAGTTCCGTCCCAGGAACCCACAGCGGAAGGAGAAAAGTTATCCTCTAATCTTCACACATGTGCTGTGGGCCTCAACTGCCCTGAAAGATGCCAGAACTTGAAGTCTTGCTAGAAACTGCTCCTGGTATCAGCTGAAATGGACAGAGCCATGAGGAAGGAGAGACCAAGCCTCAGAGGAGGCTAGAGCATCTTGTCACTGTATTCACAAGTAAGCCAGCCAGAATTGGTGGCATGAACCTGTGATCCTGGGACTCTGGAGATGGAGACAGGGGGATCTTGAGTTCAAGGACAGCCTGGGCTTACAGAGCCAGACCCTGTACAAAAACCAAACCAAAGAGAGGAGCCAGAGAGATGGCTCAGTTTGGTTAAACGCACTTTTTGCTCTTGCATAAAACCCAGGTTCGACTCCCAGCATCCACACGGTGGCTCATAACCATCTGTGAATCCAGGTGCAGCACAGCTGATGCCTCTTCTGACCTCCTCAGGAACAGCCATGTAGATGGTTTGCATACATACTTCAGGCAAAACACTCATATACATAAAGTTTGTTTGTTTGTTTTGAGACAGGCCTAGAATTTGCTTTGTAGACCAAATTGGCCTTGAACTCAGAGATCAGCTTGCCGCTGCCTTCCTACTGCTGGGATTAAAGGGGTGCACCACCATGCTCAGGTCATAGTTTTTTTTTTTTTTTAATTAAAAAAAAAAAAATTCAGAGATTAGACAATAGAAAAGGAACCACCGAAACAATGAAAAAAAATGGTCCTTCCTAAGTATCAGGACCATGGAGCTTTTGTTATCTGTGCTGGCTAGTTTTATGTCAAGCTAGTCACTCAAAAGGAGGGAACCTCAATTAAGAAAACACCTCCAAAAAAGCCAGGTGGGTCTGGCACACACCTTTCAGCCCAGCACTGAGGAGGCAGGGGCAGTCAGATAGATTTCTGCGTGTTTGAGGCCAGCCTAGTCTACAGATGAAGTTCTAGGACAGCCCCTCACCCCCCCCCCCAAAAAAAAAAAACAAGCCGTGGGTAGCAAGTCAGCAGATAGCACCTCTATAGCACCTCTATGGCTTCTGCATCAGTTCCTGCCTGCTGGTTCTTGCCCTGACTTCCCTGAATGACGGACTGCAAGCTGAAAGACTGAAATAAACCCGTTCATTCCCAGCTTGCTTTTGGTCATGATGTTTTCCACAGCAATAGGAACTCTCAACTAAGACATTTGTTTTTAGTGTGTGTGTGTGTGTGTGTGTGTGTGTGTGTGTGTGTGTGTAAGTCGGGGTGGAGTGGGCATGCATATACGAAGGTCAGAGGACAGCTAGACATATGTTTGAGGGCCTGAGCTCAGATTTTCAGTGTGGCTTGTATGTCAGGTACTTCTACCTAATAGCATCTTGTTAGGTCAGACCAGCTTTGCTTTGTTTTGTTGGTTAACTGGAACTCACTATACAGCCCAGGCTGGCCTGGAGCTCAGAGACCTGCCTGCTCCTTCTCCCATACTGTGTACCACCAGGCTCAGCAGGACCAGTTTTGAGTTATTATGTACTTGGCTTATTTTATTTGTACTAAGCACATGCCTCGTGACTGAAGAGGACATCAGATCCCCTAGAATTGGAGTTACGGATGTTCGAGAGCCATACTGGTGTTAGGACCCAAACCCAGGTCCTCTGCAAGAACAGCCATTACTTTTAAATGCTGGGCCATCTCTCCAGCCTCTGGTTAAGCAAAATTCTTCCTAGGATGGTTAAAGAATTTTTCCCACACTCTCATGTGGCGGAGAAGACTGGAGAAGAATAAACAGGATAAACTCACTTAGCCCTCTCTCTCAAACAGTTTGGCCCCAAATTTCTATTTCACATATCTTTAAAAAGAAAATAATTTCTTTTTTTCTTTTGCTTTCGAGACAGGGTTTCTTTGTGTAGCCATGGCTGTCCTAAAAAATCCACCTGCCTCTGCCCCTGGAGTGCTGGGGTTAAAGGCATGCGTGCACTTTGGCCGTACAAGTCACATTATTTGTTTATTTGTTTTATTTTACGTGTGGTGGTTGTAGTGGGGTACAGATGACATGAATACATGTGGAGGTCAGAGGTAACCCATGGGAGGCAGTTCTCTCCTTCCACCATGTAGGTCCCAGGGGTCAAACTCAGGCCATCAGGTCCAGTGACAAGTACCTTTACCTACTGAGCCATCCAACCAGCCTAGAAAAGGACTTTTAGGTTACAACCAAGTAAAACCCAACCCTAATTTGTGGCCAAGAGACAAGCGGGGCGTGGTGACACATACCTGTTAACCTCAGCAATGGGGAGGTGGAGTCGAAAAAATCAGGAATTCAAGGCCAGGCCACATATTGGGCATGTCTTTAATCCCAGCAGAGGCAGGGGGATCTCTGAGTTTCGGGTTAGACTGGTCTACAGAGTTCCAGGACAGCTAGGGCTATTCACAGAGAATTTGTCTCAAAAACAAAAAAACAAAAAACAAAAACAACCAAACAAACAAACAAAAAAAAAACCCAACAAGTGCTCTTAACTGTTGCTCCCTCTCCACCTCTGAAATGAGTCAATTCAAGCTAAATTATCGGGAACAGTTCTTGGGGAGTTTCACTGGTCCCAAGGAACAGGGCCAGGGAACTCACCACACAATCAATCAGAGAGGCAGAGAAGTGGGGTGGGAGAGAAGGAAAAGGCAGGCATGTGCTGCTCAGAGAAAGAGAGAGAAAGAGAGAGGGAGGAAACCAAAATGTCTGAATTAAAGGAATTCTGGGAGAACCTGGAGGCCAGGTTCTCTTTGATATGTTAAGTAGGCACCTCAGCAGCTTGTCCCTGGTTTGAATAGGCAACAGGAACACAGGATGATCCTCCAAGCCAAACCGCTGCCATCTTCAGTTCTGCTGGGTCTCCTCCCCTCTCCCTTCCCCCCACCAAAAAAAAAAAAAAAAAAAAAAAGACAGCTGGGCACGGTGGGTGGCCCCCGCCTGTGATCCCAGCACTCCGGGAGGCAGAGGCAGGCGGATCTCTGTGAGTTTGAGGCCAGCCTGGTCTACAAAGGGAGTCCAGGTCAGCCAAGGCTACCCAGAGACACCCTGTCTCAAAACAAAACAAAAAGAAAGGAAAAAGAAAAAGGGTAATAAACAGTTTGAGCACATACAAAATATGAATCTTTAATAATTACGCAAGACCAAGGATGGCTATTTTGTTGTCTTTTTTTTTTTTTTTGGACACAGTGTATCAAGTTGCCCATTGGTCGCAAACTCCGTATGTAGCTGAGGAAGAAGCCTGAACTCCAGATCCTCCTGCCTCCATCTGCTGAGTGCCGGGGTTACAAGTGTGCACCGCCACACCAGTTCCATCATTCCAGCACCAGCTCAGCCACATCCTCAGCCCCTGAGGACATTTTTCAATGGAGGAGAAATTCGAACTGATAACATCTCTCACCTGATTAGCTTGGCAAAACCCCAAACACTGGCTTTCAGAAAGGCTGTAGGCTAAGTATGCATCTCATGCGGTGTTAGGAATTTCTTGCGCTGCTGCATCGAAACACCACGACTGAAAAGCAAGTTGGGGAAGAAAGGGTTTATGCAGCTTACATTTCCATATTTCTGTTCATCTCCAAAAGAAGTCAGGTCAGAAACTCCAGCAGGGTAGGAACCTAGAGGCAGAAGCTGATGCAGAGAGGTTGCTTACTGGCTTGTTCCTTATAGCTTGCTCAGCCGGCTTTCTTGTAGTACCCAGGACCACCAGCCCAGGGATGGCACCACCCACAAAGGGCTGGGCCTTCCCCCATAAATTACTAATTTAGAAAATGCCTTACAGCTGGATCTTACCAGAGGCATTTTCTCAATTAAGGCTCCTTTTTCTCCGATGACTCTAGCTTGTGTCAAATTGACAAAAACCCAGTCAGAACATAGGGCATGCATCTCAAACAGTGCTGTTCAGCTATGGACACCACTCAGACAATGTCAGGCATGGGCTGAGGAGAAGGCTCATTCGGTGAAGGGCTGGTCCACGCACCACGGCCTGAATTTGATCCTCAGAATCCATATAAAAGCTGCTAAGTGCATTTGTACCCCAGAGCTGGGAAGGCACTGACAGGAGGATGCCTGGCCTTCCTTGCCAACTAGCCTGGCCTACCTGGTGCCTCCAGGCCAGTGTTTGTCTCAAGAAAACAAAACAAGGGGGGGGGGGCTCATCTCCTGAGGAACAGACTGGAGCTTGACCACAGTGTGGTCACCCACAAATCCTTAAGCATTTCCCCTGCGGCAGCTAAGCTACTCTGTGGGTTTGTCCTACGGAAAGGTGACGTTTGTGCAAGGTCATAGGTCGCAGGTTTGTTTGCAAGATTAGTAAAACCCCAGAGCAGGTATTATTTTCTGAATAAATGAATAAATGATCTCTCCTTTGGAATTGGCTGCAGTAACTAACTTGGGGGAACGCTGCTTACAGACCCCCAAGCCCATCCAAAGACAGAAATGTTGCATGCTCAAAATTGTTTCTGAGACAAGGTGGTACTACGTAGCTTTGGCTAGCCTGGAACTCAGAGAGGTCTAACTCCGCCTCCCCAGTGTTGGGTTTTAGGGAGCAAGAAGTTACAACTGGACCATACCCCACCTCGCCGCCACCTGAGGATGCAAATCAGAACACATATTTTGGACCTTCCCAAGGACACTTTCCTCGTCCCACCCAGAGTCACTCCTGTCCTGTACTGGAGTTGCAGTTGGCTCCCTTTTGTCTTGTTGAGACAGTTTCTCTGTGTAGCCCTTTCTGTCCTGGAACTCACTCTGTGGACCAGGCTGGCCTTGACTCACAGAGATCTGTCTGTTTCTGCCTCTCAAGCGCTCAGATTGAAGACTTGTGTCACCGCTGCCTTGGCTACAATTTTTTTTTAAATCATACATAGATATGTTAAGCTGGACACGGTAACACTCAGCACTCAGGAGGCTGAGAGGAGGACTGACTCAAGTTTGAGGTCAGACTTTGCCACATAGCAAATCGGTTTCGTTCTCCCCACCCACACATACAAATTAAAATATGCCTAAGGGTTGAGAGCTTGCTTGCCTAGCTCATTCACAATTAAAATATGATTGATAAAACTAAGCAACAGGGCAGGGAGATGACTCACGGGTGTAAAAGCTGTGAAAGACTTGAAACCTATAGTGGAAAGACCAACTCCATAGCATCCTCCTCTGATTTCCACACACACCCAACAATAATATTTTAAGTGTAAATGCAAGGAAGGGAAGGTTAGCTCAATGGCAGAGCACATTCGTAGCATTCATGAATGAAAAGAAGGACACTATACCTCCTAGGTAGAGTTGAGGAGAAGGTTCCTCTTATAGATATGAGGGAGGATACCGTCAGAGGCATCCGGAGGAATCCCACTGACTGGGGCCATGAGATGACAAAGGAAGAGGAGGAGGGCAAGCAGACCCAATGAGAAGCCAAGGACCAAGAGAATTCATGGCTGAAATGGCAGGTTTATATAGGAATGAGATAATATAGGTTTATATAGGACGGACCACAGGTACGGGGTGACCTCTCTCCTGGGTTTGGACCTGACAATGCACCAAACCTTGGGTTTAAATCAGCATCAAAGAAATGACTTCATTTCAAAATAATCTGAAAGATGTTTGCAGGCTAGCTACACTACACGCAAACACTGCAGTTTCATAAAAGCTACTTTAGTGTTCTGGGATTCTAGAGCAATGCCCCATGGGTAACCGAGGCTGATTCTGTGTGAAGCCCTGGCATTGACATATCCAGCTCCCATCTCCAGGCCATCACTGCTTCCATTTTGATGGCCAGAAGTGGTTTCCACCTTTGGACTTTCAGAAACACCATGGCAAATGGATCTCACCAAGATCCTTATACCTAACATCTTTTAGAAAAATCTTTAAGTACTCCTATAGGGCTAGTTCTTAGAAAGGAGACTCCTGCGTCAAAGGCGGGTAAATGATGGCTTTACAGCCTGTTCTCCGGCCTGCCTGCTCCCGCCACAGGGCACGGCTGCCAGCCCACACCCTCATGGTCCCTGCAGGACAGCCAGTTGTATTCCCTGGAGCTGGTGTCTTCTTGTTTTGTGGTCTTCCGTCTGTGAGGCGCTCTTCTCTGGTGAGAAGTCATTTTCCCCAGGAGGTTAAATACATCAGTCTCAGAAGTGGGCAGGAAAGTAGCCACCAGAGGCTAGGGAGGAGAGGGGCAAAGGTCGGTGGGGAGTAGCAGCAGGTTGGTGACACCTGACTCAGCTACAACTTGGCTGTGACATCTACAGCCGGTGTCCTGACCACAGCAGAAACCAACACACATCTCAGAATAACTAGGGTCCGGCACAGAGGGGGAGTTTGATGAATATTCCTATCAAAACTGCCCTTTGAACCAATCCCCATACTGCCCCTCCATTCAATGTGCAATCTTTGTTTGTTTGTTTGTTTTTGAGACATAGTTTCTCTGTGTATCCCTGGCTATCCTAGAACTTGCTCTGTAGACCAGGCTGGCCTCGAACTCACAGAGATCGGCCTGCTTCTGCCTCCCAAAGTGCTGGGATCCCAGGCATGGGATGACCACCACCACACGCCTTCAATTTGTAATCTTCTGTGAGTTGAAACCAAGGCGCAGCTGAGAAATGGAAATGCTGGGTGGGGTTCAACCATCGTTTACCCGTTGAAAGGGGTCAACCTCCCTGTGCTGGAGTAAGGGGCTCAGGGTCACTGTGATGAAGAAAGGCCTGACCCTGAGTTTCAAGTTCTGTCCCAAAAGCTGAGGGAAACATAAGTGTGACTCCTTGTGGGCTTGCCCCCCCCCAGACTTTCCGGAAGGAGAGAAGGAATATTACTGGATAGGTGTTCCTGAGCGGCCCGCCCTCCCCTCCCCCCCTTCCGTCTCAAGCCCCCACCCCCACCATCCCCTTTCTTCTGCCGACCCGTAGTCGTGAGCTTCCACACCTGGTTTAGAACAATGACTTCCGCCCTTTTATCGGTTTCCCATCTCAGGCTTGCTTAGGGCTCTTTGTTCCCCAAGCTCCCCATTTGCCAGTTCACACCAGCAGACGTGGCCTCAGAGGCCTCGCTGTCAGAGGGAGTGAGCTCGTGGTTGACCCTGGACCCAGGGGAGAGAGGGGCCGGCTGGAGGGCGTGCAGACCCTGGGATGGAGGGAAAGGTCGCTTTCCTAGCCCCGCAGGTGAGGCTCTACCCAGACCGTCCCCAGGGAGAGGAAAATGGACGCTCACTCACATGAGGACGGCAACACCTGCTCTCTCACGTGAGAGAGGGCTCCAGAGGTCAGGGACCCAAAAGGTCCAACCCTAGCAGAAGGCGCTAAGGGAGTTCAGAGGATCCTTCAGGTGGGGTGCAGAAGGCTTGACCCCCCTTCCCAGGAGTCCCTTCCTAGGAGTCCCAACTCCCCCAAAGGTGCTCAAAGCCAGTCCAAAGAGGCCTCTCTCAGCCCTTGCCCTCACCTCCCTCCAGAGTACAATGCATTCCTCCCTTCATTTTCTGGGTTCCCTGGGGACCCCAGTCTATAGACCAGCCAGTCCCCTCCCTTCACCCTGGGCCTCCCACAGAGCCCTTTTCTGGCTCTTTCTAATCGGCTTCTAAATGTAGCCAAGCCTCTCCAGGAACACACATGAACACACGAACGAACGAACGAACGAACACGAAAACACACACACACACACACACGGAGATAAAGCAAAATTAAAATGTAAAAAACCTGCTCCGGACTTGGGGAGTGGAGCCTAGCTGCTAGACTGCTAATATACAGGAAGCCCTGGGTTTCATCCCCAGCACCCCATAAACCTGGCTCTGTGGTCTATAGTCCCAGCCTTCGGGAGGCAGGAGGATTGTAAGTTTAAGGGTAGCCTTAAAGCTAAACTGCATGTTACAAACCAGTACGTGCTACATGAGACTGTCTTAAAACAAACCAAATAATTAAACAAATGGAGAAATGCCTGAGCTCCCTGGGGCTGGGAGTGGCTCAGCAGTTAAGAACACTTGCTGTTTCAGAGGATTCAGGTTTGACTCCCAGTCACCATTCGGTGACTCAATTCCAGTTTCCAGCGTATCAGACACCCTTTTTTCTTTTCTTTTTTTTTTTTTTTTACCTCAGCGGACACAGGCATGGGTGCAGTGCACATACAAACAGGCAAAAACGCTCATATACAGTGAAACAAATGTAAACGCTCAGACGCAACAAGATAAATAAATCCCAAACCAAACGGAACAACAAAGGAAACCCCAACTCTTCAAACATATACAAGTGCCAGCAGTAGAAAACCAAACTACCAAAGAGCTCACATCCGCTGATAAACAGCACACAAACTCTTAGCTGCTCACTGTCTGACTCACTGTTTCTAGGGAAAACAGAGATACATACCCACCGTCAGAGAAAGGGTACCAAGGCCCAGGGCTTCTGCACAGCCAGCAGTTGAGATGGTCTTTCACACTGACCGGCTAAACAAATAAATGCATTTATAAAATGCATACATTTGTATCTAGGTATTAGAATCTAGGTAGATGTGCAGGCACAGGCCTCTAGTTCCAGCACTCCGGAGGCAGAGACAGGCCTATCTCTGTGAGTTCCAAGGCCAGCCTGGTCTACATTTTTAATTTAAGCGCAGAGGGAGGAATGCTGGTGTGCAAGCAATTCAACTGGCCTGCCCCCAAGGGCCTTCAAGGTCCTGACAAGGTCTTATGTCATCATCTGCCACCAGGTGTGCAGGATGTGAAGGGCCCGCCTGCCAGCCGGCCCAGCTCTCTCTGTCTCAGTCTTTCTGTCCTTCTCTGCCCTCATGGCTCTGCCCCCACCTTCTGTCTTGCCTGCCTGTCTACGTGTTCAATCATCCTCTCCCCTCCCCCTCCCCCCAAATAAATCTCCTTTATAGCAGATAAAGAAAGATGTGGTGGCATTAATCATTCTTATAACATGGGCTACACAGTGAGGCGGTGTCTCAAAACAAAAGAAAAAGTAACAAGTGTCTGAAAGAACCAAGTGTGAAACAAAACCCAGCACAGTTGAGAAGGAAATAAAGGTGTTAATTTCGGATCACGGAAGGTCTGGACCCCAACACCCCAATCACCAGGCTGTTCTGGGGGTGATGTGGTAGGTCATAGTCGCCTCTGGAGAGTCAACCAACCCTGCTGACACCCTGGGACATCCATCACCCTTTCTCTGGGACTAATCCTGTCAACCTCGACAGACAGCTGCAGAGCCGTAACTGGTGCAAGGAAACAAAGCAAAACTCCTTACACGATTTCCAAATAGGTCGCCTCCTACTAAGCTGTCTCAGCAGGGACAAAAGCCCCCGAGGCGTTGAAGAAACGTAGAAGAAACAAACAACAGAAAACAAAACAGGAGGCTCTCCTCTTCCTCCCAGTTCCTGTGCGCTTTGGTCTTTAGGTTGAGGACTTTCCTACGTGAAATTTCTGCCGAGAACGCGCCTGACAAGCGAGTTTGGGGACCCGCGGGAAGTCAGAGGCTAGGGGGAGAGAGGACCTCGGAGCCGGGTGGGGCTACGGCAGCTGGATTGCTGTGGATGAGGAGACTTTTAATCTCCCGCGGGCGAGAGGCTCAGTGGAATCTGCCAAGGAGATGTGAGCATCTAGCTCCAGGTGACAGGCGAGGAAACTGAGACGAGGGGGCTCGCTCCAGCAGCAGAGAGAGGGGTACAGGATAAACCCCCCAGGCGAAGCCTCTTCCAAGCCCATCAGGGCTTCCGATTCCACCTCCATCTGAAGAAGGGCAGAAGCGGGAGAGTCCTGACCCCAGGACCGAGCGCTGGTGGGCCGCGGCTCCGCGCTGTCCCTCCTTGCTCCCCAGCTTTTGCCAGGCTACCCCCTTCCACCCGAAGACCCTTCCGCGAGCCGCGGGTCGCAAGCCGGAGCATCCGGAAAGCCCAGCGCCGACTCCCGGCCCGAAGCCCTCCCTGCGAGGCGCGGCAAGTCCGGTCCTCTCCCGGACGCGCCCCGGAGCGACCTTCCAGGTACCCTGCGCGCCCAAGGTCGCGGAGCAGGGCTCTGGGATCCGGTCTTCGGATCCCCAGTGGTCCCTCTCCCCCTTGGGCCTCACCCTCCGAGGGCCGCAAGGCTGCGGGAGGGAACTGCGGAACCTTTGCGGGCCCAGAGTAGCGCTCAACTTCGGGGCGCAGCTCGCGTGCAGGCGACGGCCGAGGGACCACAGCGCGGAACCGGTGCGCGCACCGTTGTCGCCCGTGGAACAGGTGGCCAGGCGGAGACCCGGACCCCTGGCATCTCGCAGCCCACCTCCCCGCCGGCCTAGAACAGGGGTGCCCCGGACCCCAACAACCTCCCTCCCCGCCCGCTGCCCACTCCCCAAGTACCTCCGGCTCCCTCGGCGGCGGCCGGCTACTGCGCCCCTGGAGGGCGGGCGGTGGCGTGGGCCCAGCGGACAGGAGCGCCGCCCCTCCAGCCCTGGGCGGGGTCGGCCCGCCCTGCCC